AAAGACAGTCCTTTATCAGAATATATCAATATATCATCGTTTAATATTTCGAAGAAATCACATTCATATAGATTAGAATGCACATTTTTATATACATAGAGTTCTCGGGCGGTATGTAACATACACAAAAATAAAATATCATCATTAAATCCTAATTCCTTTTTATCTAGTTTAAACCATACAATGCCCCTATTATCACTTTTAATCAATTCAATTTTACCAAATAACCAAGATTTAAAGTAGACTACAATCCCACCGCTATCCCGTTTAGATCTACGATTATATTTCGGTCTATTACATACAAATTTATCGAAACCATCAATGTCAATATTACTACTTTGAGAACACCAGGTTTCTGTAAATAATAACAAGTCATAATTCTGAATGAAATTCAGAAAATCTTCATCTTGTACTTTTTTAACAATCCCACCATGAACGTTCCACTGCAGAAATTTGAGCAGCCGATTGCTACTGTCCTAATCTGTGTCGCGTGCACGTACCGAGTCCACCGTTATCGTCTCACCGTTAACATACAGTTTATCATAAGAAAGCGTGACCCGTTTTCCCTCACTTCTGGCTTTCTGCATAACGGGAAAAGTACTTTTCTACGTTCAGCGATTTGTTTGGGGTACTGATCTTTGACTCTAAAATCCGTGTCTTTCAAATTTTCATAGGCCGCTCGCTTTACACGTAATTTATCGGGGAAATAATTGAATTTTACCACTATTGGTCTAGATTTGTTGCTATTGAAGTTGCCAATTCTATGTGCCCGATCAATTTTAATTGCATCAACATTTTCAATTTTCAAGGAGTTTTCACAGAACATTTGAATTTTGTTTAAACAATCCTCCTCTTTGCGCTGGTCAAAAGTGCTACACTCAGGAATGCCGAAAAAAACAGTAAATTGTCCCGCATTGACCTGGATTGTAAGTCGAGAACTTCTTCGTTCAACCGGGTATAATCCGTTAAAAGAGATTCACATTCTGTTTTCATTTTCTGGCTATTTTTACGCTCAATCACGAGGTCTTTTTCAATTTCATTGTGTCTTGACCTGATCTCGTCACAGGATTGTGAATCGTATGCGCGACTTTTTTCTATTTCATTTACCATTTTGTCGGTCGCCGACAACTTTGACTCCATTTCTGTGACTCTAAGCTCGATCGTAGCCATTTTAGAATTCATTGAAGATACAGTCTTTTCTATAATATCAAGTTTCTGTAGCTTACTGTCTATATTGTCAAGTTTTCCCATTAGCGTATCTAATGTAGACTGCATTTGCGAAATATCTGTACCAATGATAGTATTTGTGGAAGCCTGTTGGCTCTTCGCAGGAGTACAAAACGGTTGGCTTTGGTAACAGGGAAGGCCTATTGGTTGCTGAATATATCCCTGTAACTGATACGCAGGTGTCTGTGGTGTTTGTTGTTGAAACGATTGATTATACATTGGCGATGTATTAGTCTGATTAACAGATTGAAAAGGCGAGGTGGTGAATTGAATAGGGTCATTCATAACTGAGCGCTTCACAGGGAGATTATTCGTTAAGTCCGGAGATGTTTGAGACAAAGCCCGCTTTTTCTTACCTCCCTTCGTCATTTGAACAACAAAGCCATACTCTAATCCCAACAAATATCAAACATTGCACCATATTCCATATCTAAAGTCTTGGCACACGTAAAAAGTACACTTATGAAGCACTTGTATTTATCCTTTAAGTGAATATTATAGCTAAATTTCGATTTTTCCACAACTTTTTATGAGAGCAAAAATTCAAACTACCGCCATATTCACGCATGCGCATAACGAGTATCAAATATCAAATTACTATGTGTTTACTTTAATAACCGAAGGCACGTGTCATGATATATTTAATTAACAACAAAAAAAACCTCCAAATATTCGCATACAAAAAGCGTCAAAATATGTCAAATTCAGTAATTTTATAATGTATTATTTTAACAGTCTATGATAATTTATTGGGGGGGGGACGAGTTGGGGACGAGTTGACCAGGGGACGAGTTGACCAAAAAGGTGACGAGTTGACCAGAGGACGAGTTGACCAGGGGACGAGTTGACTCTGAATCTCAGAAATTCTGATATATTGGGACCTTGGTGGCAGAGATCTACGCCGAAGAATTAAGGGGAGATCACTGTGTGGAGATTGGACCCAATCTCCTACGCAGTGATCTCCCCTTACAACAGGATTAGATTACAATTCTGCCAAGGGAGGTAATCACTGTGAGGAGTTTGGATTGGACCCTGACACAACCTGGTTATCTCCCTTTACCGGCTTTTTTAATCTAAACTCCGTTTCGACCGTATTTTATTTTCCGTACCTGGGAGGCTGGGAAGTAAAGTACTAAATTAATGTCTGGCTGAAATCATACTTACTTGTAATATCCATTTTCACGTCAGATATTGAGATTCAATCATTTTATCAAGATATCAATAGAGCTGCATTCTCATCTGCCTAAAATGAGAGTGCAAGAAATCCAAATTGGAAATTCCTGAGAATTTTCTTAAAGGCCCATTATACCTTAGACATGCTTTTATATTTTATTTTCAAAAGGCTTTAAATTTTGGTGTACTTTCATAATATCCTAAGGTTACGCATTTGTCAAATTCCTGAACTATATTTTTCATCTGTTGCTCAATTATAGTTATATTAATTATTATCTTTATTTAGGGAAGGTAACACATTATGGCCTTCTGAAATATAAAAGCAACAACAGAACATGCATATAGGTAAAAATTTTACTTACACATGTATAATATGTGTAATTTTTAGAATAAGATAACTCATTATTTTGACAGACACTCAACAATATATGTTTTAACATACACGTATTTTGCATCATTCATTTGTTCCTTCTTTCATTAATTCATATTAGCATCTGCAAGATAAGTTTTGTTTATGTCTTTAAAACATTTAAGATGATCAGCATCGTGGATATTTCAAGGTATACTGTTTAAAATGTTCATGCTATGATAAGAAAATGTGTCTTTAATATCATTTGTTTTAATACAATATCTTTTCGTGAGCTAGATCTTAAATTGTCAGATTTTGTTGTCTGATAAAGTTATTAATTCTGTCATATAACTTAGTGCGATGTTAATTTTAAAATTTTAAAAACAAGTACCGCCGTGTGATATTTACATCTGTCATTAGGAATGGCATATAAATCCGTGGTATTGAGGAAAAGATTTTTTTTAAAGTCTGTTTCTATTTGTAAGTCAATGTAAGAATGTAATATCAGGACAGGCAATTTTCGTCACCAAAGGATAATTTATGACAACATCTGTACAGATTCACTAGGCAATACTACATGAAAAATAGCTAATCTCAGGGCATTATAAGTTCCTACAGAAGATTTGATTGTGTTTTCTTACAAATAAATTCATATAGCTCAAGTAAGCCTGAAGCAGAAACAAATTTGGCACTAGTGTGATTTATTTAACCTTAATTAGTGAACTACATGATGCTTTATGCCAAATATCAATGCTCCTGGCTTTATAAATTCTGAAGAGATTTTAAGATATCTTAACTCTGATAGTTAATATATAATTATATGCATACTAAATGTGCCCCAAGGCTGGACCACTTTTTGATCACATGTGCATGACTTCGTAGAGGTCTAAAAGGCAAGGCTACATGCAAAAAATCTTATCTCTGGCCATCTGTCTTGAATGATTAACTTAATTATAATACTTTTTATATTCAGATTGCTTTGCCAGACATTTATAATAGCTCAGATTAAGGGAATATCTGAATAATGATGGCTTATAATACTATTTAACTTAAACTCCAACTTTCTCTTATTTTAACTTATGCTTTGTGTTTTTGTTGTTTTTTCTGAAAATTTAATCGTAAAGATTTTAACAATTTAACAATTTTTAAATTGTTGATGATTTTGTTTGTTAGTCCTTCACAGTTTAAACTTTTTGCTGTGAGTGATTAAAATGTTTGCCATTATAGTAAGTCCAGTAATGTTATCTACTAAATTTTGCCTCTCATTAACTAATACATCACTTTGCAGAAATCTTCTTGATGTTCATGTGTACTGGAAATATTTTACATTCAACATAACTGGGGTATAGTTAATTTATCTAAGCAAACTATGCAGGTGTTTTTGTGCCAGGTAATAGTCCTTTTTCTCTTGCGTTTACTGTCACATGTACCCATGGACCAGTAATTTAGCTACTCTGTAAGGTAGAACCAGAAAAGGACTTAATTCTCCCATCAAAATGTTCTAAAGGAATCAATCTCTTATATTCAATCTTTATGTACCACAACCTCTGCAGATTTACTTAAAAAAAAGATTTTGATTGTTGCTGAATGATGTTGTTCTACAGAGGTTTAATTCAGAGTTAAATCTAAGTTTGTGAAGTCACTGAAGATTCTGGTGTTTTAAAGAAATAACTACTGTGGGCTGCTCTACAATGGTTACACTGTATGTTTTTAATTTCATGCACTTTAAAGCAGCACACCTCCAAATTCTTGCTAATTTTCATGAAAATGTATTTCAAAAGTAAAATATTGTGAAGTGAACAAAGAAAATAATTTTCACATTGCAAACAGCACTTACAACCCATGTAAATTAACAAGAAAGTCAGAATATGTATAAATAGCCCTTAACACAGCAGAAATATGGTGAATTTCTTTTTTTAAATACTGCAAAATTAGTCATAAATCGCATATAACATTGAAATTATTTTTTTACCTTGAATCTTTTTTATTACTTTTCTTAAAATTTCTGTACTTTTCTTGAAATAATTTGGTTCATCTGGAAGTGTGCAGCTTTAACACTCTCATCTGGAAGTGTGCAGCTTTAACACCTCAAACAATATTACAAGACCCATCTATCCAGTGTACACCCAGCCTGCACTTCACAGTGACTAGACATTATAATGGTAAATGTTTCACCTCAATGTTTTGATCTTAGTTCAAGGAGAAAGCTGTGCTATTATTTATTATGGTCAAAAAGAAAAATAACATAATAGAAAGTCATAAATGAATCAACAATTTTATTTCTTTGGAAAATTATTAACATTTTTTCCTCAGTTTAATGCAAGTAAAAATCAAATAGCATACAGACAATGCATGTATTAATATTAAAGTCCTCGTCACAAGACAAAACATGTTTGTTATTGCTTAAACAACAACAACAAACCTAGAACAAAATAGTAAGTTAAGGTACAGATTTATATTAATATAAATCCTTGGTTAAGGCCACATTATGCCTCAGAAATGAACAGTGTTTTTTTCTTTAGATAGAGCAAACATGTGTTTTTAAACTGTTTTAATAATGGATTTAGTGCATGTTAGATGCTTATCATCTGAAGAAAATAAAACTGAATGTTAAAATAATTTATCATAAACAGTAGCAGAATTAAAAACAAAGTCAAAGTGGTATTTAGAATTCCATACAAAATACTTTACCACAAATAGTGTAGTAGATGCCAAATAGAAAAAGAACAAAAGATGGTTCACCATAGGCCATATAGGCCTATGAGTGTCTTTTTGGAAACTATGACAGAACACCAAAAAATAAATAAGTTTTCAGGGTAATAAATAAATCATTTGTGGAGCTAAATGGGCCTTTAAGAATAACACAGCTGACATGTTCATGTGCAATTTGAATTGTTGATATAATTGATTATGTAATCAATAACTTGAAGTATAAATAAATTTCATTCAAAAATTATAAACATCAAAACTGTTAAAATGTTAACACTTTTTTTTATTTCAAATCAAAATAAATATAGTCATACTTGTAGTAAAGTAAGACCAGATGGAGTTAGGTTTGGCAAATGATATATTATACATTTCGAATATTTGTTGTTGACAATAAAGTCACAATTTCAAGTCACAGTTTTACTTTTTAAAATGCAAAAATTCAAGAAGACATCCTATGTTTCCTGCTGACTTCAACTGTTGGTTGTGAGGGAATAGTGATTCTCATTTACAACACCACAACATTCAACAGATCTAGCTGTTTCATACTAACAGTCTCTTCACCCATTTTACAAGCTATCAACAAGTAGGGTCCTTTTTAAAGGTATGATTTTGTGTCACTGGATTTTTCCACTTTTCCCTGTCCCTCACAGTTAACACTTCTGAACTCTTTTAAGTGTAACTTTGCTTGTATTTCCTTGAACCAGCTACTCGTTATGCTGCCCTTCTGACATGACCATCTCTGCATAGGGCTTCAAATGTATGGCAAATGTTTTAAACCATTTTGCTCTTGAAGCTTACATTTCTCACCTTACACTGCTGAACACTCAAGACATATTATGAAGTATCAAATAAGTCTCAACTGACAGCAAGTCTTTCTATAAGATCATTCTACTATTACAATGTTTTTCAATACATATTTTCGTTCCAGATTCTATTTTAAATCTATCACAGTTCCTCTTTCCTCTTTATGTCTTGTATCAAACTATCAATCAGAGTAACCATATTACTAAAGTAATCACCATCATCTTCCTCTAGTGCTAGCTCAATATATTCTGTTCTAAGACTGTGTAAAGTAATGCTAGTTTGTATGAAGTTATTCCGACAAGAGTTCACAAGCGTTTTCATGGCATTAAGCACATGTTCACGACTGTCATGATCTGATACTTGTAGAAGAGTTGGAATTTTCTCACACCATCCTTGCTCCTTCATTGATTCTAACAAGGGCACACTAAAATAATTCAACATAAAAACATATTTGAAACATTAATTGACATATTTTAAATACCCTAAACTTGTTTCTTTTTCAATACTGTTTATTTTATCACTTCAAAACCTTTTTAAACATATTATTTGAACTTTCTTGATTTTATTGTACAGAAAGATACATGACTTCCTATTAAATTCTTGGGATAGGTGACAGGCTTCCAAATAACAAAGAATTTAGTTCTATGTCTAATTTGAACTAAAAAAAAATTATCTGTAACTTAATGTAAAACCAAACAAACAGTCAATGGCCGAACAAGTTGAACACCAATGAACATTGTATTGTTATAAACCAGCTGATGGGAACTGAATCTACCCATGCAAACAGTGCACACCAAGATCAGCCAGCATACCTGCCATCTAATCATGGTCTCCACTGTTTGCTATTCAGTCAATACTTACCTTGAAATGTTCCCAAAAAAGGATGAACGGTTTTGTCCAGATTAAGAAATGGAAAAGTCTATTTAGATTATCAAACATGGTAACTTTAATAAAGTAGAAAATTAGAATTCTTACCTATTATATTGCTTTAACTTCTCAAGATCAGAAGATTTATCTGAGTTTAAGTTTTCCTCTGTAACTTTCTGAAAAATAAACATACATGTATGTAGGATATCAGCTTTAATATATGCTAGGCCTAAAAGGCTTATTTACATTAAATAAAATAGTACTAACTCTGAATGCCATGAACAAAAACTTGCATGCTACCAGGGTAAGGCTAGGAAAGTCTTTATGATAAATGACCAGAATGAGTAAAGTTTGCCATTCAATTACAGTTTTGTTTTTATTCCCTTATATCTATACCTTTCCAAATTTAGTGCAAAAATATTCCATTTCACATATTCAGCGGAGTTCTTGAAACCACCTACAAATGTAACTTAGATTAATTGGCATAAATATTGAAATTTAACTCTCAGAGAAGTAAAACTTTTAACATTATCATTATCCCTAAAACCACACACTTTTATAAACCCATAAATAGTACTTCCTCAATAATAAAAATAATAAATCTTCAAGACATATTGTGGCTGGAATAAAACAAATGAAGACTTACTTTTTCCACAAGTAAATCATTTAAAAATGCCACCACTTTAATTCTCAGTTTCTCTGTGCCAGATTCTTCAAATACTTTCCCAATTGCACTTAAACCTCCAAGCTCTAAAAACCTTTTCTGAGCAAAAGGAAAGTGACGACACAGTGTTGATATACAGAACATGACCTTTCTACGAAGCCCTGTTGAGGAGTGGATGGAGACGAGGCGGATTAAAAGCTGGAGTGCTCCTTCTTCTAGGGCCCCTATCTGCACTTTAGGATTACTGAAATCGGTGAAATGAGAGGAGTTATACATCAGAGAATAACCGTTAACCTTTTGAATATGTATAAAAAATTTCTCAGTTTTGAACATTCACTATCTTAATGATGTCAAAATACAACAAACACTTTCTGTAGACAGCACACTCAATTTCTCTCAACAGCTGGATAGTAAGATTAAAGTAAGAAGACAAGATCTGTTAGATAAATTTAAGTTAATAATAACCAAGATATTTGTATGTGTAATAATTGGCATAATATGTTACAATACTTTCAATGCTGATAATTTTCTATATAAGCCATATGTTCCAAAATCAGCATAATAAATGATATGGAAATAATGTAGTACAATTATTCATAAATAACAGACAAACAGTGACCACATGGTTAAGATGTCTCCCTCTTAATCTAAAGATCACAGGTCCAAGTCCTCATATCATAACCTTTTTTCCTCATATGACACCAGTACCAGTTACTTTCTGGAAGCACACTTAAAAGATATTTATATAAGTTTGAAAAACTTATTTCTCGATCAAGCATAAACAAGTATGTTTTAGTTATTTGTCACATAACCAGCACAATAAGTCTTAAGGAAATTTATATTTAAAGTTACCTAGAGGTGGCAGCACCTAGGACCATTGCAGCCTCCATCTGTAAATCTTCATCCTGCGTCATGTTCATGATCTTAAGTATATATGGAATTCCTCCCATGTCTTTGAATAAAACTGCATTGTCTATCTGAAACCCATATGAAAACAGATAATAGGACATCCTTCATATACATCTAGTAAATAAATACATTTATTTAATTTTACCCATGAAATATGGTGCTATATCAGTCAAATATATTTCATATTTTTTGTTTGAAAAATCTGATGTATACAAAACAACTTTTTCTTGAATATTGTTTTGAAAACTATCTAGCATGATAGAAAATGGTCTAACTAAGAAAATTAATCCGAACACCAATATCTTTAATTCAGTAATTAACGCTGTACAGACGTTTAAAGAGTTGTTTACATGACGTCACAATGTAGCGCCAAACAGCGCGTGCTTACGCATAAATTACTGCGCGCCGTACAATTGCAGTTGGTAGCAAGCAAGGGCATTCGTTACCATTTTCTTTGATAATGAAATTAAATAAAAAGGTTATTTTTTCGTTTTTCGTGAAATATGGTATATATTTTCACTCAACATGATAAAATGCCACATATTTTCACTCGCCGTACCGGCTCGTGAAAATATGTGGCATTTTATCATGTTTCGTGAAAATATATTCCATATTTCACGCAAACGAAAAAATATCCTCTTAGTATAAATTGTGAAGTTACAAGTGTTGATGAGATATAATATTAATAGTAATGAGTGTTACTTTGATGAGTATGATAGCCTTACTATTGTAAAGACAACTAAAAAATGTGTATGGAAATGCCGATAAACTGGTTAAAAGCCAACAAAACAAACATTCTTTCTGAATTTTATCCTGGTTTAATTAATACAACATATTGTTTCATCAATAACCAGAAACTTTAATATTAAAAGTAAATGAATACCAAGTTTTGCTGTTAACTGAAGTAAGACAGTAAGACAAACTTTATTTATAGTCGGTTATGGTTAACAGTACAAAACATAAGCTTTAAGCTTGTATCCAACATGAACAAAATATAGAAAATAATAATAAGAAACAAAGAAACAAAAACAAACAGACACCATAAGATAATAATACATACAATTAATTTATATAGTCATTGTAATGAAATCTGAGCATTTACAATGAAAATACAGTCATATCTATTAACAGGGTTTTACATATATACAGATACATAGTACATAATTCAAGGAAAAGACTAAATTTATTTACAAGCAAAAAACAGGAATCAAGTAAAATAGAACATAAACGATTAGATGCACATAGAGCAGGCACACTTGTCATTACTCCATGTTTCAATTAGTCGTTTAAACTCATTTAAGTCAGATGTACATCTTAGATCATTAGATAAACTATTCCAGATTTTAGATGCTTCAAAGCGAAAACTCTTTTTACCATAATTGGTTGTGCGTACTTTAGGTACATCTAAAGTTTTTTGGTATCTAAAATTATAATTTGATGAACGCACATTAACAAGTTCTTGAACATACTTAGGAGAAATGCTGTTAAGACATTTAAAAACTTCAATAGCGAGTTGTTTAATTCTACTGATATGGAGTGAAGACATATTAGTCAGTTTAAGCAGATCTTCATAACTTGATGAATAGTCATTAAAAACAATTTTCAGAGCTCTATATTGAAGTTTTTCCAACTTGTTTGTATTGTCCTTACTACAAAAATGCCAGACTAAAGGGCAGAAATTAAAGTTGGATCTGATAAAACTTTTGTATATAAGAATTTTTGCATCCAGATTAAGTAGAGGACATAGTCTGGTTAATACATTTATTTGTCTTGCTGCCTTTTTACAAACATTTGAGATATGAATATCAAAATTTAATAGGGAATCTATTTCAATACCTAGAAGTTTTACATGAGATTCACAAGGAATAGTGGCATCAAGAATCTGGAATTTAGACAGATTTTTACAGGTTTGTTTGCCTATACATATAGCCTGAAACTTCTCAGGGTTTGCTTGCATAAGATTGTCTTCAAACCATTTAATCATGACAACACTTTCATCTTGTATTGTGCTTTTGAGAGTTTCCACATTAATATGATTAAATGAGAGGGTATTGTCGTCTGCATAATTATAAACAGAACCCTTTTTAATGAAATAAAATATATCATTTAAGAAAATGTTAAATAAGAGGGGACCAAGAATTGACCCTTGTGGAACCCCTTTGTTTATTTCATTCCACTCACTACAGATTGTACCTAGTTTTACTTGTTGCTGTCTTTTAAACAAATAACTTTGCATGAGATTAGCAGAGGCATCAGAAAGACCATAGGCCTTAAGTTTAAGAATAATCAGGTCATGCGGAAGACAGTCAAAAGCCTTAGACAGATCCATGAGTATGGCAGCAACATATTCATTTCTATCTAATGCTCTCTTCCAATCTTCAATGAGGCGCAGTAATGTTGTCTGACAGCCAAAATTTCTACGGAATGCTGATAGAAAGTCATGAAAAATGTTTTCAAAATGTAAGTTGAAGCACATAAAGATTTATATGTAATTTTGTTTTGTCTTGACATTGTAATAATTTTCAGTGTGTATTTTTTTTGCACCATATTAATCTTTTTTTTTACAATATCAAAATATCTACGCTTATGTTTCTGCATAATATTTCATGTCATTCATAACTGTATGATTGTAAATATATACTTTTTATGAGGACAAGAGGGTAGATTGCCTTTGTTGCAACTGTGTAGCCGCTTCAAATAAAGACTTTATTATTAATATAAACTTATGTTAAAGTATTTACCTGATGAAGATAGTACTCGAGGTCTGTTAAGGTGGTCAACAGATTATCTCTCTCAAGATCTTTGTCTCTTAACTTTCCAATCATATCTTCAATGATTTCCCCGTCAGTTTTAATATCCATGTTTATGTCATTGAAATCTTTTTTGAGCTCCTCATATGTTTTGAACTTCTTTTTCACTTCAGCTTCGCGCTTTATATTAGAAAAATGAAAAAAAAAATTAATATACAATATTTCTTAATTGCTGAGACATAGAAAAGCAATAAAAGTTGTGTCTGATCACGAATTATCCAACAATTCTGTATACAATTTTTAAATTACTTATTCTACTTTTCACTTTTAGTGACTTTTCTATCATAAAATACAAAATGATAAATCTGATCAGATTTCTGACAATTCAATATAAAGTACTCAGAAAAGAAACTACTTAATCAACAAAGTTCTCCTTTGCTCAGGATTTTTAAATTGCTACAAATATTACCTATATCAATCACATTTTGGCTACCCTGTATCTGTTATATGACTAATCTGAGGTCAGCTAATCAGAAGCTGTATTTTAAATCAGAATAACTTGCCAAAAATTCATCATCACATTTAATCTTTGTGTAACAACATTAGCTCATCATTTCTGACAGCTGGCTTCACCTTTCTGATGTATTTTTCCAGCCATCTAACATATAACTAACCAAGAGATTTTTATTGAATTCATGTGTCAAGGTATTTTGCTGACAAAGGTATTGTTTTAATGAGTACATAATATACAAACTCAACATATTTATTTTATGCTGCAAGCTTGTAAAATATACCTGTAAATCTGTGTCATCTAGTTCAGTTGTTTTGAAATCTTTTAATGCTCTCTTTAACTCTTCCAATGAAAACTGTTTCTTATCCATATTCATCATTCCTACAAGTGAGAAATTAATAAATGCATCGTCATCATAATTATCATATCTTATCTCATGTTGTTTTTTTCATAGATGTGATACAGAACAAGAGCTGTTAGTAGGATAGCATGCTTGACTTTTCTCAGTGCTTGATAGTAAAACAATAGCAGAATGTAGAATTTTGTGTTCAGTGAAAAAAATTAAGTTTTAATATTCAAAATCTACAGCTGATTCAGACATAAGAGATTTTTATTTATCATTTATATCTTTGGTGAATGATTTAAGTAGTTATAATTGATGCTATAAATAAGAAAATAATCATAAAAGTAGGTTTGACTTTTTACCTTGCCTATCACCATCTTGCCAGTACTTGAATTCATTTTCCCCGTCCATCAACTTAGCCTCTCTTGACCCTGTCTCTAAGTTCATACGCACATGAAGTCCAGCTGGGATTGCCTGACCTTTTAATGTCAATAAAAAAATGTACATCAAATAAAGCAATTCTTGAACTAGAAAAGTGTCCATAGTACACAAATACCACAGCTATATGACATTTTGAACTCCAAGTATAATATTGACCTGGATGTAGCATATAACACACTCTTTGACCCAAGTGAAGATATCTGCCAAATATTTTGACATAAATCCATCAGGATTATGAAAGTTATATCAAGCAGAAACCTATATTTTTAAAATTGACAAATAACCGCAACTTTAACCTTGAAGGTGTGTACATGGGTATTGAGTGTCAGGCTTCACCAAACTGTGGTTAAGACAAATTTATCAGCAATCCATCACTCAATGACTGTTATTGCCTGATTTTTAATCTTTAATTTTTGTTACATGAAAGCATATCTTAGGTTAATTAATGTGTATCTTAAATGTTAAATTTTTCGCTAGTACCTACATACAACTGTTAATTTTCATATCCAAATTTTGAGCACAAAAGGACCTTTGACATTTAACGCAAAAATCTGGAAAAAGGGTGAACGCACTGAAGTATTAAAAACATCAAAATTACATGAATATTGCAGACTTGGTTTGACTGAGTCTGTACAACACGAATACTGAAGAAGTACAATATCCCTCATGACCCCTAGCATCGGCTCGAGTGGTATTCAATTTTCAACACTTAATTTGAAGGACCAGATAAATATAACAACACTGACAAAACAACAATGGCAATAATTCAACCATTTATCAGACATAGCCATTTATGTAACTTTACCTCAGTGTAATTTGTGGATTAATGCAATAGTATGGCAGCATTATTTGTGGTCTTATCATCTTACCTTCTTTAACAGCTTGCCATTCATGTGTAGGATGGAAAGGGTCATCATTAGAAACCACTTTATCTGGTTGATCTTCCCCTTTTTCCTCCTCTACAGTGACTCCTGGAGAATAAATAATAAATATAAAACAGCCTAAAACAGGCATATAAGTTGTTGTGAATCTATTCAAAAGAAAAAAAAGGTTAATTTCTGAGACCTTTCACAATGACTTGAACACTTTGACTTTAATACTCTTACAAAAATATCATCAAAATGCTGATCCACTCGTGACTGTAAGATAGATCTATACAGCCTGCCTTTATATAAAATGTTCCATGATGCACAAGTCAACTTGTTATAAATTTGCATAAAAATGTATACATTTGTATATACTATAACTACCAATTTCCCTTTTTCATCAGTAAAACTAATAGTTTTAATTTAAACATGCTTACTCTTTCCCATTTCATTTAATCCAGTGGTTTTAGAAAAGTTTTGCATATTGTTTGTTTTGTGTAGTTTTAAGGCAGACTAACACATTTTGAGTAATATCATGGTAGTTTGTACACAAAACTGGCTTTTCTGGATAACTAACCAGTAATGATCAACAAATGACCAACAACTAATCCCATATGATTTTTGAATCAGAGGTGAGAGACAAATGACCATTAGACTCAAAGACTGAGATCAATTGTCAATTGTGACAGAGTATTTTCCTTCTCCTGAGAATTAAACTAGCAGCGCCAGGATTGCAAATCTGATGCTCTTTCTTTTGAGCTAAGCAACTTGACAGTATTTTTGCTCATAATTTATAACACAATCTGACAGTTTCATAAAGTAATATTTTCTTGATTATTCTTTTTCTTCTTCAAGTATAGAAAGGCAGCATTTTCTCACTTTCAGTCTTTGGTTAAAAAGCATGTGTGGGTGCTACTTAAGTATTAAGAAGACAAGCAAAGTTCTTATTTCATTTAAAGTGTCAACTGAATACTGATATACAATCAAACAAATCATCTTACCATTTTCATCTTCCTGTTGAACAATAGTGAGTGCTGCACTTTCACTCTCAGCAAGACCGTGATGGCTGCATACATGTAGACAAAATATCACAAAACTGATAACAGTTACAGTGTTCATGGCTTGAACAAGATGGAATATTCTTTTTGACATGCCCAAGAAGTTGTTCAATTTCAGATGACATCCACCAATTACAACTGAAAAAGAAAAATAAAGTAATGAAATACAATAATTTGTAGTTATACAATAACTTTGTTTATCACACACCCGTGCCGATTTTGCGACTCCGTAAATATGGTATTGCACGGCCGTGCATATATTTTGACGTGACATCATTAGCGTTATACAAACATAGTGTAAAGACGCGCTAAATGCTAACGTTATACTATAGGCGCGTCAATGAAAAATGACTCTTATTTCACTTTAAATGGTCTTTAGTTTGGGTATGTGATAAAAAAAGTATTAAGTTCGTGTAAATTCATTACTGAATTTATTGCACTCGTTGAATCAAATAATATTATGCTCGCCAGAGGCTCGCAAAATATAATTTTATTCAACTTGTGCAATAAATTCAGTATTGAACTTACACTCATTCAATATCCTCTATATCCACTGACCATAAGTTGACAGAATATCCTCATCATATGACAAAGCCAAAAACTTAAGAAAAAAAATATTATTCTCAATTTCATGACTTAATTCATTTAATTAAAATAAGTTTTACTCCTGAAAAATACATAGGGGTCTAAACCAGGAGATTGCCTTGAAATTTCATTTAACAATTGTGAAAGTTTATTCCAGTATAAACAAGAAAAATATTACATACATTCGTATGTAATATAGGTACGATTGCATACTACTTTTTGTGAAGACTTTATGTTTGCTGAATTAAAGGTGTAATGTAAAATGAACAAACATGTCATGAGATATTTTGTATCTTTAAACATTTTCATGGAATGTAATTAATCATCATATTAAAGTTGCATGCCTTCAGATGAGAAAAATGATTTCAAGGAAATCAAAATATGAAAAGACAAGAAACATGGCAATGCCATGAAACCAGGTTTTCAATTATCACCATTGTAGATAAATATGTTGTATTTGAAATACAAATACAAGCAACAAACAATGTAACTATGTGCAATGTAAAACATGAATAATGTAGGAGGAATTGCCACAGAGGAAGTTTTCACTATAATTATATTCTGTATAAGGAAAAAAAACAAAGGGCCATAATTAAATAAAAAATTATTCAATCACAAAACCCCACGTATGCGCCAGGGCACTGGATAAAAAAGCTACTGTGAAAGTTTGAACAAAATCCGTTGAGAAATGTAGGAGTTCAGCACAAAAGAATTTTTTCACTATATATTCTGTATAAGGAAAAATAACAAAGGGCCATAATTAGGTCAAATATTATCCAATCACAAAATCCCGATAATGTGCGCCAGGGCACTTGATGACAAAGCCTCTGTGAAAGTTTGGTCAAAATCTGTTGAGAAATGTAGGAGAAGTTGAGCATGGTAAAAATTGTTCACTATATAATCTGTATAAGGAAAAAAACAAAGGGCCATAATTAGGTCAAATATTATCCAATCACAAAACCCCGATGATGTGCGCCAGGGCATTTGATAACAAAGCTTCTGTGAAAGTTTGGTCAAAATCTGTTGAGAAATGTAGGAGAAGTTGCGCATGGTAAAAATTGTTCACCATATAATCTGTATAAGGAAAAAAACAAAGGGCCATAATTAGGTCAAACATTATACAATCACAAAACCCTGACAATATGCCCTAAGGCATATGATGACAAAGCCTCTGTGAAAGTTTGGTCAAATTCCGTTGAGAAATGTAGGAGGAGTTGCGCACAGAAAATCGTTCACTATATATCCTATATTGGGGAAAAAAACAAAGGGCCATAATTAGGTCAAATATTATCCAATCACAAAACCCCGACAATATGCGCCAGGGCACTTGATTACAAAGCCTCTGTGAAAGTTTGGTCAAAATCCATTGAGAAATGTAGGAACAGTTGGGCACAGAAGAAGTTATTCACTATATATTCTATATAAGGAAAAAAAACAAAGGGCCATAATTAGGTCAAATATTATCATATCACAAAACCCCGACAATATGCGCCAGGGCACTTGATGACAAAGCCTCTGTGAAAGTTTGGTCAAAATCCATTGAGAAATGTAGGAACAGTTGGGCACAGAAGAAGTTATTCACTATATATTCTATATAAGGAAAAAAATCAAAGGGCCATAATTAGGTCAAATATTATCCAATCACAAAACCCTGACAATATGCGCCAGGTCACTTGATGACAAAGCTTCTGTGAAAGTTTGGTCAAAATCCGGTGAAAAATGTAGGAGGAGTTGCGCACAGAAGAAATTGTTTACGCCCGCCGCCCGCCCGTCCGCCCATCCGCCCGCCGACATACCTCAATCTAATAACCAGTTTTTTCCTTCGGAAAACCTGGTTAAAAATTCATGGTCAATTAACTGCTTTGAAGCATAATCACAAAATAAAATTACAGGAAATTAAAAACCTTTTTAATACACTATAAGGTAGAATTTCATTGTAAATCATAGTCAAAGATTTCAGATATGATTATTTATTCATATTAACATCATTATTGGCTATATATTGATAAAAAAAAAACCCGAAAGACACAGTTTGTAAATATTTATTACAATAAAATATGAAAAAGGTATACGCGCAGAGATAAGCTATAATTAAAATTCCCGCGCTAAGTCGCGGTGGTGCTTGGGATAATCACTTGATACTGTAAATGGCAGCCATTTTACGATACGAATCCTAGGACAGTTTATCCTGCAAAAAATACTTGCAATTCAAAGTTTGCTGGCTACATAAAGATTATCGATTTACTCTTTGCACACTTTTTCTCTGCCCGAGTATAATAATATTGACGTGTTTTCATTGGCTTAAACCATCACGTTAATACCAATACACATGTAGGTGTGAACTAATTTCGTGTTCATTAAAATTATTCCGTTAATAGACATATAACAATCTTATTTACAAATGAATTGATAAAACAACAATCCCAGTAGTCAAAATATTTTAACCTACGGGATTTTTAGATAATTTTTGACATGGTCAAAATCCCAAAGGTTAAAAACATTAAAGGTCTATTAGTTAATAAACATAAAATATATCATTTAACATTATTTAGCGAAAAAACAATCAAGAAAAGGCACCGCAATTCGTCAAAACTCAATATTTACTCTTTTTGTTTTGAAAGTTTACCTTTCCCTACCACCCCGAGGAAGAGTTGCACTACTGTACCGTAAGGTGTACTTCGAAAATTTAGTGGCTTTACCGTTATGCGGTAACATGCTACTAAATTTTGAGAAATTTATTTTAGTGTTTTTTTTTTTAAAAGAAAATAATTGAAGACACAGTAAACAAACTTTATTGCAATATCATACAGTATTTAGGGAAAAAACTTGAAAAATCAGTGAACAAAGTTTATAACAAAGTTTATAGCAATTAAACCAGAGACATAGATAAACATAGTATTCAAAAGTATGGATAATGTTGTTTTACAGAATGCTTCATAAATGTGACTTTGAACATACAGGTTATAGGTTACATATTACTTATAAAGAGAAATTTACATAGATGTATGTTTTATTATTGAAAATGGCCTACAACATTAGTGAAAAAAACTGAGCTTTAGATAAATATTTTCTGTTTTATAAAATTTGACGAATATACAGTATAGACTTAAAACGGCACAAAGTTTTCATCAAATAGTGTGAATATAAAAACAATTTAATGTTATAAATTTTGACCTGCGCCGCATAGACGTTACTATGGTTACAAAAAGAGAATTTTGAAGTTATGTTCAGTTATAATGAAAGATCTAAATAACAAATTTATAAGATAAAATGTTTAGCTTCACAATGGTAAAAGTTGAATTGCAATAATTGTATAATTATAAAAATTGTGAAGAAATATCGGGTAATTCTGGATCATGCCCCGTATTCAAAGGACTGAGCCCTGTTTAAGAAGAGACTCTACGAGCTCGATCAAGCTTACATGACAATAGCTTCATCTTTGTCATAAACTTGTCCCTATTTATCTTTTCTAAAATGTTCAATTAAGGGCATAAGATATATAGCAGTTAAAAATCACTATAAAATTATCGTCGTAAAAACCCGCGTACATGATTCCGCATTGTGCACTTTACTGCTATGACGTCACGCATTCAATGGCGAATATGGAAATTGTATCGATGTGTTACAGGGTGTAGTTTAAATAGGATTATTGTCTTATGAACCTATGTCATATAATAAAGTGTGTAGAAATTACTTCTTAAGGAATATATCTTCAAAGGTAACTAATTCTTTCATTCCAATTTTGTTGTTTTATTGGTTTTTTTAAGAATTTTTCTTCCGACTCAATTTTGAGTCGGAACGTCCACCACTAAATTGGTCTTTATTGTGTTCAACGCGCAGGGCGTAGCTCTGATCGCGTTGATATTTCGACTACAATCCCAGAAGCATTTAAGATAATAACAATCATTGGAAAAAAATAAATGGATATAAATTGTAAATTTGTGTATGACAACTCAACCCCCTAAACAAAACATAATAGACTCAACCAAAACAAGCGCCTGCTTCTTCACCTAACTATGTAGTTGCATGACCATGATTAGCAATTTAGCGAACCAAATCTAAGAGATAAACCTATTGTAAAAATATTACTATGACCACAGCAGATTTCGTACAGAAAAGACATGTCATATTTTTAAAAATCACGCGAAAACTCATGACATATAAGTATTTAGTATGATGGTCTCTTTCTAAGAGAAGGTCTTACCTAACTTTCAAAATATATTTCCAGCAGATTCATTCCATTACCAGGTTTAATGATTTACGACCATATATATTAAAACTTGCATCAGAATTTATTCAATGTTGATGTGTACTCGCCGGGTAAGCCCACGTCAGCTCTCAATTGTAAACAAACGGAATCTCAGCCGATTGGTGATTGGTTAAAATTAAAATTATTTATTTTAATAAATAAAGAAATAAACCAGATGTGATTGAATTATATTATATATCTAATTAAATTAATGGTCATTTATCGAGATTATATAGTATTTATTTCATTTACATTTTATTCATTTTTAATCCAATGAAAATAAAACAAATATTCAGCAAACTAGAACGCTGTTAAAAACGCGGGAAATTTTGGTATAAATCTCGCTTTTCTCGTGCAAATCATGCCACATGTAATGATAAAGCAAAATATTCTAGATATTGGCCATTTGCTTAGGAGACATAGGAGTAGGACGAACGTGACAGTAACGGCTCGAAAACATGGTAGAGGCAGCACAAGAATACTTTTGGGGTAGGCCTTTAGTTCAGCACATTAATTAGCAATAAAATTATTTCTACCATTTTCACATGTGTGAATGAACACATTTCTTCGTGGTAGTACCCGTGAAATTTCAGGGTATTTAATTATGCACATGGAGACTGTTAGAAATTTTGTGTCTGGTCAACCTGTGTAAGGAAATTGAAACTGCTTGGCAGAAATGTTAACCATAATGAGAGACATTGATAACAGAGCAGCTCCTATATACTCCATTGAAATATCACTAATGGCTGTAATAAAAGTGAAAAATTAGGCATTTTGTAGCAAATAAAACTTAATATTACATACCATTTGAAAGATAAATCTTTCATGTTAAAATATTGGTAATTTTCAATGCCAAAACATGGCAGAACATACCCACTGAGCCAGTTTCTTCGTCATATGAATAGTTTTATAACAAAAATTAATAAGTAGTTCTTTTTAAAATTTGATGTATCATTTATTTAAATGGGAACTGTAAATATTTTTACCTGCAGCCATAGACAAATGCAGAAGCTTTCAGAAAATGTATTTTTTTCCTGATTTTGATACCTGGTTAATAAGTTTTACCTGCTACAAGTTTTAAGTTTAGCAGGCACGCGTGATATTTTAACCATAGGAACTCTGGAACAGGACCGCATAATGCGGCGCATAAATCCGAATCCGTACCGGCTTTACATATTGTTTGTCCGACCTTTGAATATCTTTTCATATTATGCGAGCGGGTGGTCTTTAATTATCTAATCTCAATTTAATATAATCTGCTAATTTAAAAATCAGTCAAATTTAGGGTATATTGAAAAAAGAAAAGGAGTGACATCCGCCATTTACCGCAACGTTCGGCGTAAGTTATCCCCCTTGATATGCTTGATTTTTGTTTTAATTTTTCTAGTAAAAAATGAATACCAGATGAGTGCCTAAAATATTTATCTATGGATCATGTTTTAATATTCTTTTTTTCAGTTAGGCAAAATCAGTTGGACCATATTATTAAAGTGTCTGTTTTCTCCATGTTAACAAATCAAAACACGAATACGTCCGTTATAATGCCGCCTATACATGTCAAAACGTGTAAACACACAAACTGTTAACGTTATATCCGGACGATACCTGATAGTTGACAAAAATAACGGGAACAAAATTCTGAAAAAATAGTAATCAATTGTAGCCAAAGGGGGAAAACTCATGCCGAAAACGTTGCGGCAAATGGCGGATGTCACTCCTTGTCTTTTTTTATAATACCGTAAAATTTGACCAGTTTTAAAAGAGACAGATTGGGTTCAATTGAGGATATATTTTTTGAGTCCATACACTCGGATAATACTAAAAGATATTTAGATGTAGCAGAAATGTTTTTAAAAACCGTTACACGATCGAAAATATGCGCCGCAATCTGCGGTCCCGTTCTCGAGTTCCTATGATTTTAACTGGTTAGGAAGTTGCCTATCTCTGTTAATGAGACATTGTGACAGTGCAGGTTTTAATTTTCACAAGTCAAGGTCACACTTGGTCATTTTGTATGAGTTTCAAAATTTTGTGCCCAGGCCATCCTTAAAAAAATGTTCGTTTGCAGTAACTCAAAAAATTTGCCCCTACCCAAAAATTTTTTTCATGGTCTGGATAAAAAAATTTTATTTTTTGAATCAGAAAATTATGCCTTGTGCTTTCTTTTTGTTCTTTTAAAGGATAATAGAAGAAATAAAATGTAGGTCTTATTAAATTAGAATTCAGTTATCAATTTATTGTTACCAGATTATCAAAGGCTTATATATTGTCCAGCATTTTGTAATTCCATGTTTATTTGGGAGTACAGTTCAATAAAAAAAATAATCGACCTACCTACCCACCTCGAAAATTCTGGGTCGGGTTACTGTAAACAAACATTTTTTTAAGGATGGCCCCACTCAGTAGATCTATCTTTTGAATCAAAAGAAAGAAATTAAAAACTTTTTGTCAGAAATATTAGCTCAAACTTAGAAGACATTGTGCAGAAAAACGGTTTGGTCTTTCCAAGAATATGACTTCGCTTTGAGATATTTTTGTTTCTGGGCAAAACGTCAAATTGAAATTGCTCAAAAACCCATAGCACGTTTTGCCAGAAAATCGTGCGGAACGAAAAAACAATTAAGACTCTATGTGTTAACATTTGACCTATATATGAACAAAACTAAAAAATAAATACCTCTAAACAAAATAATTAAACTGTCACATCCGAAAAATCATGATTAAATCTTCTCATGTAATTAAATTCCTTATACAGATGATAAACAAATGGTCGCCATACAGTGCGAGAAATCTGATTCAAATTCAAGGGTTTAACCGAGTCAGAAAATTGTAACAGAATATTATTAAACGAAATAATTGCCCATGCACGGTCAGCATGTTTGAATATATTTTTCCGTTCAAAAATTTGGAATCAATATGTAAAGCGCCTTACTAATAGCCAGTTTGGCCAATAGACAAAAAAAAAATTAGATTGATGTTTTTATTTTATTTTAAATTGATAAGTACATTGTTTGAGAGTTTTTGTTTATGATTGGGCATGAAATTGAAAGAAAAGAACATAAGCTTTTGAATAAAGCTTGAAAGGCAAGACAATAGACATTTTTGATTTTTTATATGATGCTATGCGTTTATAAGCAATAACTATTAGACGTCAGGCTTGACAGACATAAATTATAACAAGCCTGGAAAGTCTGATATATTCGACTACCCAAGATCAAATTGGCCCCACCCCATAGATTACTTAATTTATATTCACTTGCATAAGAAAACACATTTAAGATGAGTCTATGTGAAATTACAATATCTATAAAGCATAGACATTTATCATGTCTATATCATATCAAGCATTGCCTTTAATTGATCTTTACAACTTTGGATAATTTCCCCTTGGTTCAATAATGACACTGCCCCAGGGGCCGCCATAAAATGGCTTGGGCATATAGTGTTACCCTATTCCGTCCTTCCGTCATTCCATCCTTCTGTCATTCCGTCATCATCATTTTCCGTTCATTATCTTTAAGTAACGGTTGCACACATTCAACTCAAATTTGACATATGGATATATCATGACAAAAAATACAGGTCAAGTTCGAATTTGGTCATGATCTGATGATTTTGAGAGTTATGCCCCTTGATGAAATTTTCAATTTCTGTTCATTATCTCCTCAACAGTAATACACATTCAATTCAAATTAGATATTTACGTATATGTCAAAGGAATGCACAGGTCAAGTTCAAATTTGGTCATGGTTCGCTGATTTTGGCAGAGTTATGCCCCTTTCACTTTGAAAATGCATGTTATGTGAAATTTTCAGTTTCCGTTCATTATCTCTTGGATATGTCAGATACGTCAAAGGAATGCACAGGTCAAGTTTGAATTTGGTTATGGTTCGATGATATTTCTGGCAGAGTAATGTCTCTTTACTTTTAAAAAAAGGAAATTTTCAGTTTCCGTTCATTATCTCCCTAACATTTGTACATATTTAACTCAAATTTAACATTTGGATATGTCAGAAGAATACACAGGTCAAGATCAAATTTGGTCATGGTTCGATGATAGCTGACAGAGTTATCCCTCTTGAACTTTGAAAAAAATCAGAAATTCTTAGTTTCTGTTCATTATCTCCCAAATGGTATTACTCATTCAACTCAAATTTGATATATAGATACATCTTCAAGTTTGAATTTGGACATGGACCAATGATTTTGGACAAAGTTATCTCTCTTGAATGTTGGAAAAATTTTAAATTTTTAGTTACAGCACTCATACTTTTGTGAAAATGTATGTAGTCATTATTTTGGCTACAAATATGCAATATGTAATTTACAAAAGGTTAACACTGAATAGTGTCAGTGCCTCGAACTTTGTATAAAAAAATCAAAAATGGTTTGTGTTAATTAACATTGAATAGTTTTAAAGACTGCAAACATAAAATGAAAAAAAAATAGTTTGTGCAAACAAATTTGGAACTCAAAATTTTAACATCTGAAATTTTGGCTGCATGCAGGGGCATCTGTGCCGTGAAGACACATTTCTAGTTGTATATGAAATGAGTAATTTGTAGAAATTTTTTTCATTTTGGACCCATACAATCTATAGTGGCTTTAATTATGCTCCCCGAAAAATTTCAGGGGAGCATATAGTCGGCGCCTTGTCCGTCTGTCCGTCCGTTTTCTTGTCCGGAGCATAACTTGAAAACCCTTGGAGATAATTTGTTTAAACTTCATACAGTGGTAGATGGCATTGAGGGGGAGTGCAGTGTCAAAGAACCATAACTCTATTTTGCCCGGTTTTTGAATTATCTCCCCTTATAGAAAAATCTTGTCCGGGGCATAACTCTAAAACTATAAGAGATATCAACATGAAACTTTGTAGGTGAATAGATCTCAATGGGTAGATGTGCAGTGCATAAGACCAATAACTCATTGTCCTAATTTTGGAGTTATTGCCCTTTTTTAATTTCAACACTTTGAACTTTGTCCGGAACATAACTCTAAAACTATAAGAGATATCAAGATGAAACATTGTAGGTTGATAGATCTCATTGAGTAGAAGTGCAGTGCAAAAGAACCATAACTCTGTTAAGCCTCATTTTTTAATAATCTCCCCTTATAGAAAAATCTTGTCCGGGGCATAACTCTAAAACTATAAGAGATATCAACATGAAACTTTGTAGGTGAATAGATCTCAATGGGTAGATGTGCAGTGCATAAGAACAATAACTCTTTTTGTCCTAATTTTGGAGTTATTGCCCTTTGTTAATTTTAACACTGAACTTTGTCCGGAACATAACTCTAAAATTATAACAGATATCAAGATGAAACATTGTAGGTAGATAGATCTCATCGAGTAGAAGTGCAGTGCAAAAAAACCATAACTCTGTTAAGCCTCATTTTTGAATTATCTCCCCTTTTAGAAAAATCTTGTACTGGACATAGCTGTAAAACTATAAGAGATATCAACATGAAACTTTGTAGGTAGATATATCTCAATGGGTAGATGTGCAGTGCATGAGAATCATAACTCTGCCTTGCCTAATTCTGGAGTTATTGCCATTTGTTTTTTACTTTTTGAATTTGTCCGGAACATAACTCGGAAACCATAAGAGATATCAACAAGAAACTTTGTAAGTTGATAGATAACAGTGATTAGAAGTGCAGTGCAAAGAACAGTAATTCTGCCTTTCCTAATTTCGGAATTATTGCAATTTGAACTTTTTCCAGGGACATAACTCTGAAACTACAAGAGGTGTACTTTCCTGTGTCCAAAACCTATTCGGGGAGCATCACCCGGCTCAAACCGGGCTCTTGTTTTTAACAAGTGATCATTGTTTTTAACATTTTCTTTTTAATTGTTAATTTAAATACCCGTGTGCCCCTGCAGGACTGAGTGTAATACTATGGTCATTGAAAATTTTGCAAACTAATTGTACTTAATGTGTGTGTTGTTCTTTTTGGTAAGGATGAATATTTTTAACATGCAAATGCATCAGAAAAAATCCTACCATAGCCAAGAGCTTTGACATTGCTACTTACTGATTACAGGTGAAAGTAACAATGCTCTACATCTTTGAGCAAAATAATCTATTCTCCGACAGTTGTCAGAGTAATGAATGTAGGTGTACACTCCAATGTAATATGCCTTCTTCAGTAGGTCATTTTAGCTCATTTGTTTAAAAGAAAAAGTCCAGCTATAATGTGAAAGTTAACATGCAAAATTTCCAATTATTCATTCAAACATTTTAAAATTGAGATACTTAACATGACACGATGCAGTGTTTAGACAAGGGGCATAATTCTGAAAGCTATATTTTTTTAAGTTTTGCCAAAATTGTTTGTACTCGATAGACAAGCGTAAAATAACACTGTATAATTCTGAAAGCTATATTTTTAGCTCACCTGAGCATGCTCAGGGTGAGCTTTTAGGATCGATGATTGTCCGTCGTCCGTCCGTCCGTCGTCCGTTCACATTTAGTTGTTAACACTCTAGCGGTCACATTTTTGCCTCAATCATCATCAAACTTGGTCAGGATGCTTATCTAGTTGATAGCTCGGATGAGTTCGAACATGGGTCATCTCGGATGAGAAACTAGGTCACAAGAGCTAAAAATAGAAAAACCTTGTTAACACTCTAGAGGTCACATTTTTGCCTCAATCATCATCAAACTTGGTCAGGATGTTTGTCTAGGTGATAGCTGGGATGAGTTCGAACATGGGTCATTTCGGATGAAAAAGTAGGTCACCGGAGCTAAAAATAGAAAAACCTTGTTAACACTCTAGCGGTCACATTTTTGCATCAATCATCATCAAACTTGGTCAAGATGCTTGTCTAGGTGATAGCTCGGATGAGTTCGAACATGGGTCATCTCGGATGAAAAACTAGGTCACAGGAGCTAAAAATAGAAAAACCTTGTTAACACTCTAGTGGTCACATTTTTGCATCAGTCATCATCAAACTTGGTCAGGATGCTTATCTAGGTGATAGCTCGGATGAGTTCGAACATGGGTCATCTCGGATGAAAAAGTAGGTCACCGGAGCTAAAAATAGAAAAACCTTGTTAACACTCTAGCGGTCACATTTTTGCATCAATCATCATCAAACTTGGTCAGGATGCTTGTCTAGGTGATAGCTCGGATGAGTTCGAACATGGGTCATCTCGGATGAAAAAGTAGGTCACCGGAGCTAAAAATAGAAAAACCTTGTTAACACTCTAGGGGTCACATTTTTGCATCAATCATCATCAAACTTGGTCAGCATGCTTATCTAGTTGATAGCTCGGATGAGTGTGAACATGGGTCATCTCGGATGAAAAAGTAGGTCACCGGAGCTAAAAATAGAAAAACCTTGTTAACACTCTAGTGGTCACATTTTTGCATCAATCATCATCAAACTTGATCAAGATGCTTGTCTAGGTGATAGCTCGGATGAGTGTGAACATGGGTCATCTCGGATGAAAAACTAGGTCACTGGAGCTAAAAATAGAAAAACCTTGTTAACACTCTAGTGGTCACAATTTTGACTCAATTGTCATCAAACTTGGTCAGGAAACTTGTCTAGGTCATTGCTGGGAAGAAATTGAACATGGGTCATCTCGGATGAAAAAGTAGGTCACTGGAGCTAAAAATAGAAAAATCTTGTTAACACTCTAGTGGCTACTGTTGTGATCCAAATATTCTGTTAATTGGTCTGAAAGTTTGTTTTGATGATTTCTAAGTCAAGTTCGTACATTGGTCATCTTGGATGAAAAAAACTAGGTCACACCGCCCAAATATGGAAAAACCTTGTTAACATTCTAGTGGTCACATTTTCGACTCAGTTATCATCAAACTTGGTCAGGATGCTTGTATAGGTAATTGCTTGGATGAGTTCGAAATCGCATGTGGAACTAGGTCACCGGAGCTAAAAATAGAAAAATCTTGTTAACACTCTAGTTGCTACTGTTTTGATCCAAGTATCCTTGAAATTGGTCTAAAAGTTTGTTTTGATGATTTCTAGGTCAAGTTTGAATATGTGTCACCTGGGTAAAAAACTAGGTCGCACTGCTCAAATATGGATAATCCTTGTTAACACTGTAGTGGTCACATTTTTGACTCGCCTGTCATGAGACTTGGTCAGAATGCTTGTCTAGGTAATTGTTTGGATGAGTTTGATAAATCAGGTGAGCGATCTAGGGCCATCATGGCCCTCTTGTTTTAAGTTCTGCCAAAATCGTTTGTACTCGATAGACAAGCGTAAAATAACACTGTGTATGCATGTTTGAATAACAAGTTGATGGGTCTCATTTTGTGTATTGTAGGTGTGGAGTTAAGCAAGGATAAACCAACATACACCTGGACATTTGAGGAGGAAGACGAGGATAATGATTACCTTGTACACACTTTATTCCTGAAAAATGCTGTGCTAGGAGCGTCGGCAGTTAAAGGAGAAAGAAATCTTGTACAAATAGAAACCAAAAACTTTGACAAAACTGATATATCACAGCCTTTACTATCATTAACATTAGGCCAGTCAGATATGGTAGGTAACTCTTCAGCTCATCACACAATGTTTAAGTTCTTACCACTCTGCTTGATTTTTAGCTCGTCAGAATGTTGCAAAGAATATAAGGATCTTGCACTTTCTGCCAGTACAGAATTGAATATCTAGCTCAAAGGTGTAACAAGGTTCTGTTTATGTTAAAGTTATACAAGAGCCAGATATTCCTTTCTTGCATATCAGACTGGCGTTTCTGTTAGTTTTACCCAGGCAGGAAAAATTTCATCTTGCATGAGTCGCATGCTACACAAAGGCACGCTTAGGATGACGTAATTTTATCATTATGAATGAAGTTGTAAATTCATACATTGTTGTAAGAAAATAGTTACGGTGAAATGACATAAATTTCCATGGAAAATTTTAAGGTAAAAAATTAAAAATATAATGGTATATGGTAAAATATGCAAGAAAAAATATCTGACATGTTTGCGGTTCAGATCGGAATATCCGTCCCTCGGTAATCTGCCCATGGGCGGTATCTTGGCAACCCTTGTTACGCCCAATAGACGGGTCACCTCGGGACAGATATTCCGATCCGAACCACAACATATGACAGATATTAGTCTATTATGGCAGCCAGACTATATGATTTTTTTCTTACAATACATATTTCTTGCATACATCAATCATTTTTCGGAAATTCTATGTATCGCTTTCCTCTTAATAATAGTAGTATATGAATTTGCAACTATGAATCATTCATATCAGCTAAATGACATTCCAAGAATGCAATTCATTTACAAAGAAGAGTAGGACTGATGTCATTTAAAGCAGACTTGTCTTACATGGGAGTGTAAGAAAGGTTTTTTATGCTCCCCGAAGAGAGAGCATATAGTTGCTGTCTTGTCCATCTGTCAGTCCGTTGTCTTGAGCATAACTTGAAAACCCTTGGAGATAATTTGTTTAAACTTCACACAGTGGTAACGGGCATTGAGATCGAGTGCAGTGTCAAAGAACCATCACTCTATTTTGCGGTGCACAAGAACTGTTGCTCTGCCTTGCCTAATTTTTTAGTTTTTGCTCATTGTATATTTTTATACGCCCGTTTGAAAAACGGGACGTATTATGGGAACGCCCCTGGCGGGCGGGCGGGCGGCGTCCAATTTTGTCCGGAGCATATCTCCTACATGTATGGAGGGATTTTAATGAAACTTCATATAAATGTTCACCACTATGAGGAGCAGTGTCGCGCACATGAACCAGGTCTCTAGGTCAAAGGTCAAGGTCACACTTAGAGCTCATTGAAAAACGCTTGTCCGGAGCAAAACTTCCACATGTATAGAGGGATTTCAATATTACTTGGCACAAATGTTCACCATTGTGAGGCGGAGTGTCGCGTGCAAGATTCAGGTCCTTGCGGCCAAGGTCAAGGTCACACTTAGAGGTCAAAGTTCAGATAAAAATATGAAGATGGTTATATGGACCATTTAGTCATCATTTATTGAGGGATTGTAACACAAATGGTCATTATCAAGACTATGGCTGTGATACATATAATTTAGGTCAATATATACAAGGTCAAGGTCACTAAAGATGATGAAATATCCAGATTTTGTAAATAGAATTTAATCAAAGGGAGACAACAAAGTTATTACTTTGTTCATAAATGACTTACACAATTACTCCCCTTGATCTATTTTCTAAAAATAGAATTTAATCAAAGGGCATGAAATAATCCTCTTTCTTGGACTTGAGTATGTTGTAAAGAATGTAACATTTATTTACACATGTTTCATTCATTGGTCAAGATACTTAACTGTGATAACTATGGTGTTCTGTAGACTTGGTATTTGTTCATAAAGATCATACAGTAATTGCCTTATCAAATGTAAATACTTTCTCATAGAAATTTAATTATATTTTAATTTTCAAGTAAATATCAGTTCAGCTCATTCAAAGATTAAGAATTGTAATGAAATGTATTTCCCTAGAATAAAATCTTAAATCAGAATTTTTTAGTTATTAAATTACATGTACTTTTTATACTCCCGTTTAAAAAAAGATAAAAATATGAAGATGTGTATAGGGACGATTTAATCATCATTTATTGAGGGATTGTAACACAAATGGTCATTATAATGACTACGGCTGTGACACATGTACTTTAGGTCAATATATGCAAGGTCAAGGTCACTAAAGATGGTGAAATATCCAGATTTTGTCTGAGCATATCTCCTACATGTATGGAAGAATTTTTATAATACTTTATGGAAATGCTCACCACCATGATATGTATTGCTCCATGCATGATCCAGGTCTCCAGGTCAAAGGTCAAGGTCACACTTAGAGCTCATTGAAAAACGCTTGTCCGGAGCAAAACTTCTACATTCATAGGGGGTTTTCAATATAACTTGGCACAAATGTTCACCATTGTGAGGCTGAGTGTCGCATGCAAAATTCAGATCCCTGCGACCAAAGTCAAGGTTACACATAGAGGTCAAAGTTCAGATAAAAATTTGAAGATGGTTATAGGGACCATTTGGTCATCATTTATTGATGGATTGTAGCACAAATGGTAACTATCATGACTACAGGTGTTACACATTTAATTTAGGTTAATATTTGCAAGGTCAAGGTCACTGGAGATGATTAAATATCCAGATGTTGTCCGGAGCATATTTTCTACATGCATGGAGGAATTTTAATGTTACTTTTATAGAATTGTTCACCACCATGAGACGTAGTGCCCTGCACATAAACCAAGTCTCTAGGTCAAAGGTGAAGGTCACAGTTAGAGCTCATAGAAAAACACTTGTCTGGAGCAAAACTTCTACATGCATAGAGGGATTTCAATATAATTTGGCACAAATGTTCATCATTGTGAGGCTGAGTGCCGTGCATAAAATTCAGGTCCCTGCGACCAAGGTCAAGGTCACACATTCTGTGCATATCTTCCCTATTGATTTGTTTTAAGGTTCATTTAACAACACAGTGCCAAGAATAAAAACTTGCTTGCTAGATAACACTTATCCATAATGCCCCCATCTCCATCTAAAGCTTTTTCGTAAACGGGCGTATTTTGTGACTATGGCACCCTTGTTACACTTTGAACTTTATGCGGAACACAACTCTAAGACTATAAGAGATATTAACATGAAACTTTGTATGTAGATAGATCTCATTGCAAGGAAGTGCAGTGCAAAAGAACTATAACTCTGTTTAGCCCTGTTTTTGAATTATCTCCCCATTTAGAAAAATCTTGTCTGGGACATAACTCTAAAATTACAAGAGATATCAACATGAAACTTTGTAGATAGATATATATCAATAGATAAATGTGCATTGCACAAGAACCGTAATTCTGCCTTGCCTAATTTTGGAGTTATTGCCCTTTCATTTTTACATTTTGAACTTTGTGCGGGACATTACTCTAAAATTATAAGAGATATCAACAAGAAACTTTGTAGGTAGATAGATCTCATTTATTAGAAGTCCATTTCAAAGAACAGTAAATCTGTCTTGCCTAATTTTGGAATTATTGCACTTTGTCCAGGGACATCACTCTTGAAACAACAAGACGTGTTCTTTCCCGT